CCCCAAAACCCCAAAACCCCAAAACCCCAAAACCCCTTATCATTTTCTCAAATTTATGCAAACCTAGAAATTACAAATGCTATACTTTCGCAAGCCCCTACCTATACCCAAAATTCCAAAAATAAAAATCCCTCCAAACCCTCCACCCCCAAAAATCCCCATCACAACCTCTTCAGGTGCTTAACTCCCTACTCCAAATCGCCAAAATTCCCTTCAGCCCACTAAGCTTGCTCAGACCCCTTTCCAGGCAACTCAGCTTGTGTACCTTTTGAACCTTTTAGCAAAGAAAGGAAAGGAGGGCTCTCCGTTCACCTCTGCAAAAGATATGTCAGCTTTGATCTCCATGAAGGAAGCCAAGCTTGTAGCCACAGAGAAAATGGACGGGTTAGGAGTATATATGAGCTAAGGTGTAAGGAGAGAAGAATTAGAATTTAGTGAAGTTATTAGGAAGAACTATTTTTCCAAGCCTTTAGCTCCTTCATTAGTTCTACATCCTCTGCAATCCCGTGAGCATGGAAGATCTCCTTGAGAGTTGGATCATGAGCTTTAGCAGACTCCTTCTTTCTTAACTCTGAAGTTGGGACGAAGTGGTGGTCATCACTGTCGGATTCAACAGAATTGCTTACATGAGCAGATGCTTCTTTTTCCATTTTGAGGAGAAGTTTCCTAAGAACATTCCTTTCCTGCTGGCTGAAGTAGACGTCATCTTCGGCTGAATTCCTCTTTTTGAAATGATCTTTGTGCAGTATAACCATGGGAGCTTGCTGAATTGGCGCAATAGTCTTAGCCAAATTTTTCTTTATCATGAATTTAGACAGATACATCTCTATATGAATTATGAGATTCATGATTTTTCGAAAAATCTTGATCTGATATGAGAGGAACAAACTAAACTTGGCCTCATACTCAGAGAAGGCTTATGACTCCTCTTTCAGTACTGGAGTCTTGTGGCATGGTCTGAGAGTATGACATAGCCAAATATCTCATCGAAAAGTGCCCTATTTTGGCTTACCTTTTAATTTAATATTTATGATTTCATTCTTAGCTTCGCTAAAAGGGGTTTTGGGGTTTTGGGGTTTTGGGGTTTTGGGGTTTTGGG